TTCCTCCTCTCCCTCACCCTCGGGACGATTCTACGCGGCAAAACCTTTCGAAACCAGCAACATATGTATATGCGATTCTTATAATAATTTCTATTATTAGTTTACAGAGAAAACATCTGTGACAACGTAAGTGACAAAAGTACAAAAGAGAGCGTACACGTACGAGATTTCTTTCCTCCTTTAATGAAAAATTTCTGTCATTTATCTGCGAGTTTTCTCTGGACTCCGCTTCCGTAACGGTGGGACAATAATTATCCCTCGCGATCAATTTTGAGTTACTTCCGCTTTAAGCGACTTAACGATTCCTTAACGATCGGTTACCGAAGTTTTCGCCGTGCTTCGAGGAACCCCCGATAATCGATCGCGATAATTCATTGATGTACGTGGCTTAGCCGCGTAGCGCGCAAGCAATCAGTCCTCCTTCGTGAAGTTTACGTCTTCGAGTGTCTCTTCTGAACTTTCCATTAAATTTTTATCGGGAATTGTCTTGATCTTCGGCTCGTCCCCCTTCTTCTGCTCCTCCCTCTCCGTTCGACAAATAGCCGTCCTTTCCTACAGAGAGAACTTCTCTCGCGGCCGGAGTCCGACGGCGAGGATCAGACTGATTCTCGAATTTCACTTCAACTTTGTTCAATGCCCGGGATTCCCACGGGATACTCACCGACCGACCGCGAGAAAACTCTTGTCGAACTACGTGAAAAATCAGTGAGATCTATCGTATTCGAGAGATTCGCGGTATTTGCACCGAAATACTTCGGAAATACCGTAATACCGAAGACGTCGACGGCGAGGGATGTCCGTTTCTCAGGCGCAAAACGAAATATCGTTTTACCTTTTCCCTTACGATCTAACGAACACGCTATACGTCGAATCGTTCGGCGTTAAAAACTTTACGACGCGCTTTCCCTACAAAACCGCTTCGCTTTGGCCGTCGGCGAAACACAAACTTGCAAACAAACGCGCACAAAAGCCGCGGATATTAATTTCGGGCAGCGCAACAGCGAGCGCAGTGGTACATGTTTTCCTTCGGTTTTCACAAGTTGTTACCCGTTTTTTCGGCTAACGCATATTCGGCCAAGTTGGATAAGCGATTTTTGTCGGATATCCATTCGACGCTCGAATTGTAATTCCCCGTTCGTTAAACGAACGTGGAGAATGTAGAGTCGTGCGCAAAATATGGAGAGAAATTTTTGTGGCTGGGATCGTAAATCTAAAACCAATTAAGTTAAAATTGAATAATTGAAATTGTAATGTAATTTATGCTTAAATATGTATTTTGGATTTAATGAAATCTTGGCACGAGAGATCTCGAAATTTGTATAATTTTCACTAGAGTTTTCGACTAGCGTTCGGAATTTCTTCGTGGTCGAGCAGTTCGAACAGTTCGAACTTGAACCTTAAGCCGCTCGGCTCTTCCATCTCGATGGGCCGCAACGCGTCCGGAAGGACGGGAAGAACGTAACGTAAATTCCGCTTGTTTCGACCCGGAGAGAAAACGCCACGTTGTGATCTCACTACTTCCGCCGATCGCGAGATCACAACGCGGCGTGGCGTGGCGTGGCGTGGCGTGGCGTGGCGTGGCGTGGCGTGGCATGGCGTGGCGTGGCGTGGCGTGGCGT